AACTTCGAGGGCGGGATCATATGCTGCCATGGATAGGCACCAGGAAAGGAAAATTACGGTAAGTATGGTACAATTTTCTGTTTTCCTGGTGCTTCCATGGCAGCATACCTGTGATAAATAACTAGCTGAAACGGGTTGGATCATGCTTAGAAAAGTTTTATTAAAAATAGAAGAATTTTCATTTGGAATAGGCAACGGTCACTCTTATAGCTTGTCTGCTGAACTCCACAGATGAGAGAGCCCCTGGGTCCACTCTGTAGTGCCTTATAAATATGTGTTGGGGTGACCACATAGCTGCTCTGCAGATGGTCTTGATGGATACATTTGCCCTGGCTCCCCATGAAGCAGAAACCTGGTCGAATGTGCCCTGATTGAAGAGGGGGGGTTCCAAACCCCTGGCCCTGTACGCCTTATAAATTAACTTGACTGTCCATGATGCAATTGTTCTTGATGAAGCCTCATTGCCCATGTTTTTGCCCCAGGGGATGACAAATAGATTAGATGAGTACCTGAAAGATGCTGTAGCTTGAAGATAGCACCTTAGCACACTGGCGATGTCGAGCTCATGGAGAGTACCCGATTCTGGGTCTGAAAAGGTTGGCAGAGCCCATGGTTCTGAAACATTGGAAAAGGAAGAAACCTTCGGAACGAATCCGCACAGTGTTCTAAGTTCCACCCTATCTGGGTAGAAAGTAATGTGGTCCTCTTCCACCCCTAGGGCTTGTTCTGACACTCCTTTACCAGATGACACTGCTATTAGAAAGGCCATTTTTAGAGTCAGATTTCCCAAAGAGGCCAATTCAGATAGAGAAAGGGGTTGGTTGTATAAAGCCTCTAGGACTACAGACAGATCCCAGGTGGGAAAAGCTTTCTTGACAGGTGGACATATCTTTTTAACGCCTTTGAAGAACTGGACCAGAAGCGAATCTTCGGTACACCTCTTGCCTGCTGCACTGGTATCTGTGGTGACTATGGTCCAGGAGACATACCCCAATGGACACGATCTTATAAGCATATTTTCTTTCTTCGTCCACCACAATAGTCCCCTGTGCATCAGACATGTCAAACAGATGGGTTGGGATAGATAAAGCTTGTTCCATTGTCTTAGAAATTCCAATTGAAAGTGGCTCAGGTGCCAGTGGGCCCATGGAACCATTGGGATACATGCTGGCATAACCTCTTTCAGACTCAGGCAGCTTGAGGCCATCAGGTGTGACCATGTCCTCACTCTCTTCATTCTCTGGATGAAGGCTGCCATCTTCTGAGGCAGAAAGTGTCAAACAGGGCACCTAGATAAATAATTTGTTGTGTTGGGGTAAGTTGACTTTTTGTTTGATTTATTATCCAGCTGAACAGTGTGGAAATCAGAATCTCCCTGTGTCCTGTTGGGCTGTATTCCTAACAGGACATTGTCCAGGTAATGCTATACCCTGAGCCCTACTTCCCATTATGGGGCTAGGACTGCAATCAGTACTTTTGTGAAGACTCTGGGTGAAGTACATAGACCAAGGGGCTGACTCTTTTATTGCAAATTAATCTGGCCGACTGCAAACCAGATATTTCTGAAATGGTGGGAGTATGGGTATGTGTAAGTAAGCATCTTGAAGGTCCACTGACAGCATCCAGTCTCCAGGTTGAATGGTGTGGATAATAGTCTGCAGCGACTCAATCTTGAAGCTTTCCAAGAATATGTAATGGGTAATTTCTTGAGGTCTATTACGGGTCTCTAACCGCCATTCCTTTTGGGCATCAGAAATAGGTTGGAGTAGAAACCTGAAAACCTCTTGGATGGAGGAACCGGTATTGTCGCTTTTTCTGCCTGTAGGGAATCCAGAAATTGATGAAGTACCTCTTTCTTCTGAGGAGATTCTGGTATCCTCATGTGGGTGAAGACGTTGCGAGGCAGCTGGTTTGAGAAAGTCCAGAAGTGTCCGAATCAAACTGTCGACACCACCCAGGGATCCTAGCTTTTTTGCATCCATATTTTGGCACAATGCTTTAGTCTGGTTTCTACTGGGATTGCCTGGGATGACCTTGCGTCAAATGGACTTGGTGATGTCCTGCGGGTTAGGTAGAACATTTTGTTTGTCGGCCTTCAGAAAAGTGTATTGTGTGCTTCTCCAGGTCTTTCTTGAGTCTCAGCCCTGTCTGGACTGCCTGTAATCTTTGCCCCTGAACTGTTGAAATCTTGAAGTAAATCTCTTGGTACATCTAGGCCTTCTGTCTTGGGGTAACAGGCCTGATTTTCCTCCTGTAACATGGGAAATTGCTTTTTCCAGCCTCTCTCCAAGCAGTGCTTTGCCATCGAAAGGGATTTTACACCAATTTGTTTTGAAGCCCACGGCTTCAACCATTAGGCCCATTTTGCTATTATGGTATGCATCATCGTCCTTGCAGAACATCTTATTGTATCGATAGCTACTTCACCAATGACATTCATCCAGAGCCTTGACTATGTCTTCCTTGGGAACTCCCTGTTGGATAGCCGCCTCTATGTTTTCAGTCCATACTCACAAGGCATTGGAAATGGATGTCAGGGCAATTGCTGGCTTGCAGGCATTCCTGGCCATCTGATTGGCCCTTTTTAGGTCAAGGTCTAGTCATCTGTCTAGGGGGTCCTTAAACGATGTTGAGTCATCCATAAGTAATATTATGTTCTTTGCTAAGCAGGCCACCGCTGCATCCATTGACAGTGGACCATCTAACATTGGATCTGATGGTTGATATAGTTTTCCCAGGAGATTGAGAGAAAATCTTTTCTTTGTCTCTTTCCATTCTTCTTCTATAACATTTCTGATTTCATCCATCAGAGGAAAGAAGGAGATTCGCTTTCTAAGAAATGGGAAGTAACTGTTTGATTTTTTTGTTGGGGAATCAGTTTCTTCCCAACCAATGGCAAGCTTGACTGCCTGGACATAAGGTTGAACCAGGGAAAAGCTAAAGCCTGAGGGATCTGACTCATCCGAGGAATCTTCTTCTCCTGATTGTCTAGACAGCCGATCTGCTACTGGTGAGAGTATTCACCAGAGGATGGGCCTGGTAGTGCCGCATCTTTTGCCTCTTCCTGAGGAAGCTGTGATGATAGCTGTGATAGATTAGCTGCTACTAGTTCCGCAAGCGAATCTTTAACAACCTTTTTCAGTAGGTCTGCAACAGGGGCGGACTGACAACTCATGGGGCCCCCGGGCAATAGGGGATCATGGGGCCCCTGTGTCCTTGCCCAAACTCAAAAAAGCCTATGAAAAAGGTACCAGGGGCATCTCATGGGGCCTCCTACTGACCCCGGGCCCTCGGGCAGTACCCGAGTTTCCAAATGGTCAGTCCGCCCCTGGTCTGCAACCTGCTGTCTCTCTGCACCTCTTTATGCTGCATAGTCCCTGAAACAGTCTCCGCAGACTAACTTGTCTGGTAAAGAGGTGGTTCCGCATGCCCAGCAATTTCAAGGTCTAGGACTCGAGGAAGACAAACAGGTAAAGTACCTGGAGAGAGAGAGAACAACAACAACAAAAAAGGAAAGGGTGAATAAAAGGGCAATCACATGGGAAGCCATTATCAGAAATTATTGCAGAAAGGACAGGAATAGCTGCTCTCTCTGTCCTACGCATTAGCGAAAACCATGAACTTATTGCCAGATATAGTGCTCCTGGTTAAGAGACAACTGCTGTCCCAAAAGACCCCCAGAAGGGACTCCCTACCTTATAAGTGCATTTAGCTGCCCAAGAGTAGGGACAGCGACTGGGAGAGGCTGAACCCAGGCGGAAGCTGCTCATGGCAGAGGTAAGGACGACTGACTTACATTCACTGACCATAAGGTATGAGGAAAAAAGGAGAATGCTGGGGGTACCTTAATCCTTTCTTTTTATATATTCACTGGTCCTGAGGGAGGAGTCCAAGGCGGAGCTTATCGCAGGTATGCTGCCATGGAGGCACCAGGAAAAAGTTTTGACTTTAGTTATACTTTAACCACCTCCATTTCTGGAACTTTTTGTTCACATGTAACAATCAGTATTTTTTGCTAGAAAATTACTTAGAACCCCCAAACATTATATATTTTTAAATCAGAGGCCCTAGAGACTAAATTGATGGTTTTTCATTTTTTTTATGTCACACGGTATTTGTGCAGGCGGTTTTTCAAATGCAATTTTTTGGGAAAAAATACACTTTTTTTGAATTTTAATGAAAAAAACACAATACATAACACAAGTTTTTTGTAAAATACAAAAGATGATATGATTCAGAGTAAATAGATACCAATCGTGTCACACATTAAAATTGGGCACACCCGTGGAACGGCAACAATTGATGTAAATTTTATTATCCATTGGCAATCTTTTAAAAGCCTTTACAGGCTACCACTTTAGATTTATAGAGAATGTCTAGTGCTAGAATTACTGTCCATCATCTGGCCTTTGTGGTGATACCTCACATGTGTGGGTCGATCGCTGTTTGCGTGCTTGCAGGACCGATGCTTGCATTTAGCTTTGCGTGCAAGCACGGGAGGACGGGGGCACTTTAATTATTTATTTTATTTTTACACTGATGCTTTAATTTTTTTTTTAATCACTTTTATTGCTGTCACAAGGAATGTAAACATCGTTGTGACAGCATACACATGTGACAGGTACTCTTTAGAAAGAGATCTGCGGTCTATAAGACCCCAAATCCATCCTCTGCACGTAAAAGCATTCAAAACACCAAGATTGGTATCTTTGAATCCTCTATTTTTTTTTTTTATGGCGCAGTTTATTTCCGAGTAAACCGGAAGTGATGCCAGGTCATTGCTTCCAGTTTACTATAATGGAGAGCCAATCAAAGCCAATCCCGGCTGTGCTCAGCTGTCCGGCCAGCCAGCGGATGCGCCAGCTGGTCGCTTGGGTCTCCCATTGCGACAGGAGAGCCTGAGAAAGCTGAGGAAGGCTGCAGGAGGGGGGTGGGTGTCCCCAATGTCCCCTCCCTCTGCTTGTATCAGCAGTCGAGCAGCTACTTACCTGCTCTGATTGCTATTACAACAGGGCTTGAAATTTCCACTCGCCTGCTCGCCAATGGCAAGGGGAAATTATGGTGGGGGCGAGTGTGTCCCCCAGGGCCGTCTTGCTGAGCAGGCTTGGAGCTCAGGCCGTATCTGTCATTGGCACTGGCAACCATCAGGCTGCTCAATAGCTAAGCGTAGTGAAAGCAAAGCAAGGCATACGTGCTGTGCTCTCTGCCTCCCCCTAGAGTGCAGTACCTGGCTCCGTGAGTGAACAACGAAGTACTGCAACTTTTTAGGGGGGGTCGTGTGTGTGTACGTGTACATGTGTGTGTGTTTGTGTGTGTCTGTGTATGCATGTACAATTGTACATGTGTCTGTGTGTATGTACATGTGTGTATCTGTACATGTGTATGTACATGTATGTGTGTGTACATGTGTGTGTGTATGTGTGTATGTACGTACATGTGTCTGTGTGTACATGTGTCTGTATGTATGTACATGTGTCTGTGTGTATGTACATGTGTCTGTGTGTGTGTATTTCTGTGTATGTACATGTATCTGTGTGTATGCTTGTCTGTACGTGCCTGTGTGTGTATACATGTGTCTGTATGTGTGTGTACATGTTTCTGTGTATGTATGTGTGTGTATGTACATGTCTGTGTGTGTGTACAGGTGCTCTGTTTGTGTGTGTTTGTTGGTGGTGAGTAACTCTAAGGCCTGGCTAGTAGCTCAGGATTTGAAATTTGAAGCCCTGTTACAAGAACGCCGACCGCCGGCTATAATTAATGGTACTGGCGTGATGCCTGCTCCGTCATCATCCCAGTAAAAGCACTGAAAGTACAGTGATGTACAGATGCCTCGCTGGATGGGAAGTAGTTAAAGTAGAACTAGAGGCAAATGTTTTTCTTTCATTTTGGATAGTCTAATAAAGTGTTTTTAACCCATCAGCTTTGTTTTGCCATCTGTGTCCCTTAAGGGCGATTTCCATTCACTTCCTACCCATAGCTGAAATAGGAAGTGAGGGAATCCCTTGCTGTCACCAGTAAAGAAGAGCCCATGTATGTTTGGAAAACCCACTGTCAGGGCTCCGGGTATGACCAGAGGTATGTGAACTGACGCAGGGAAACACAGGCTTCAGGTATGGTATAAATAAGACAATTTATTAAGACTAACAATACAAACATAAACGCAGTGCACCAAACCCCAAGCTAACACAAATACATACAAGGTGAAACAAACCCAAACCTAAACTGATACAGATACACAGGTACATACACATATAGAGCACAAGGTAATCAGGCAGGCCGGGTCGATAACTATCGGGCAGGTAGGTACAGGAGGAGCAGGCGGAGAGAATGGTCAGGGTCACAAGCCAGGGATCAAAACAGGAGAAGTCAGCAGAGGTCAGGATCAAGCAGAGTCAGCAACAAGTCAGGCAGAGGCAGGAACAGGAACACAGGTTACAAGATACAGGGGCCCATGGAAAAACACACACCAAGGCCAAGACTGCAGGTCTTGCCATCCCTTAAATACACCTCCGTAAATCATCTTCAGGTGTTTGGCTGCCTGCAGGGTTGAGTCTCTGATTGCTGAGAGCACCCGCTGGCCAGCCCTGGTACTGCAGCCCACAAGGCAGGTGAGTCCCACCATTACTGGCAAGTCCATTCCTGACACCCACATGGCTGTGGCCACCAAGAAGCTGTCACCTGTAATGGGCCAATCATTTGAGGCTGAGGCATCCCCCCGCCCTGCAGTCATACAGATACACGCCCAGCAGCAAAAACCTGCTGGACTACAGGAAATCACTCACTAGCAATGCTGCCATTCATAGAACACCCTATGTTTTCAATAAATAAAAGTCCTTCTCTGGCTGGATGAGGCTAGATTGTGACATCACTGCCCCTCCTCTCTACCTTCTCCAATTGGAGAATGCCTTGTATTTATTGAAAAAAAAAATTACAAGGTATTCTATTGACGGTGGCAGTGCCATGCGGGGCAACCTAATGTGGTCAGTATGCAGAGGGGAAGCTGCCCATCCAGAACCTGAGCAGGACTTGGGGATTACAACTATCACAGTGCAGTTGCCTAGATAGCTGCTAGAGGTCCCAGATTAGTATAGGCTATGACCAAAGGAAGTGCCAGCCATATAAAGAGTTCTGACAGCAGTCCACTGGGTGTCGTCATAGGAAGTGCCTCGAGGACCAAGCCACAGCAAGGATGTAGTCTAGTCTTTGAGGCTCTGTCAGCATTAGCTTTCCTTAGTGGGAGGGAGGAAAGGTGCAGGACTATTGGGACTACTCTCATCCATGGCTAGTGCTAGACTATTTTGCGCCCTAGGCAAAACAAGCTAGTTGCGCCCTCCTCCCAATAAAATAAAAAAAAATGTAAAACAGTAGAAAATATTAAATCAACAAAACATGAAACTGGAAAAATTTTTTAATTAGCAAAAATAAGTGCCATAAGATGACACCAGCACCAATATTAAAGACTATCTGTGGCTGGCAGTGGCAGGGTAACAGTTGCAGTGAGTGGGGGATGATGGATCCACACTCTGATATTTCCCAGGCTGGAATTCCCCAGGCAATGGGGGGAGATAAAACGCTATGCCAACAGGCAGTCCAGCCCACACACTCACAGAGAACACCTGAACTGAGCGATCGCACATAGTGACAGATCCAACACAATACACCATCGACACTGACACAGATCAGCAGGCCCAGCAGGCATTAGAAGAGCAGGCTGTGAGATTATGATGATGTCATCCTTACTGACACATTGCACATGGATGTCAGCCCAGCTAGGTCACACTCACACAGATATAAGACATCAGAGTCAGACATTACCTTCCTCCACAAGCGCAGCTCTGCCTCCACTGATGAATAGGAAGAGAAGGGCTGTAGCTCCACAATGATCAGCAGCTGCCAGCTGGCTTGCAGTAAGAGACTGGGTCTGAGAGGAACACTGGAAGGAGCTGAAGTTCAGCTGCTACACTGCCCCCAAACACCGGGCATCTTCCTCTGTCCTTTCTTCCTCCTCTCTGCTGCACCTCCCCCCAGCTGGAGGATCATTCATGCCGCGGCAGCGTCCCATACAGAGAGAGTGCCGGCCTGTGCTGCGCCCAGGTGCCCCTAGATGGCAGTGCGCCCTAGGTGGCCACCTAGTTTGCCTAGTGGAAGCAGCAGCTCTGCTTATACATGTGCCCTACAGTGCATTCAGAAAGTATACAGATCCCCTTCACTTTTTTCAATTTTGTTATTTTGCATCCTGATACTACAGTTGTTTAAATTCAATTTTTTTATCATTTGTCTACACTCAGTACCCCATAATGACAAAGTAAAAACAGAATTTTAGAAATATTTGCAAATTTATGAAAAAGGAAAAACTGAAATATCACATTGACGTAAGTATTTAGACCATTTGCAACAACACTTGAAATTTAGTTCAGGTGCCTCCCATTTCTCTTGATCGTTGCTGAGAGGATTCTACACCTTGATTGAAGGCACACACCTCTCTGTAAAAGACCTCACATCTGACAAAGTATACTATGACAGAGCAAAAACCATGGGGTCAAAGGAACTGCATGCAAAGCTCAGAGACAGGATTATTTCAAGACACAGATCTGGGGAAGGCTACAAAAAAATTATGCTGCACTGAAGGTCCCCAAGAGCACAGTGGCCTCCATACACCGTGTTCCAAATTATTATGCAAATTATATTTTTCTCATTTATCTAAATAATTGATGTAAATAACAGTCAGCATAATTCTCATGTTATCAACTATTAAGAGTACAATTTAAATTGTATTGAACAAACCTCCTAATGATAACAGTATTTTTTTTAAACATAAAACACTTACAATGCACTGTTCCAAATTATTACGCACAGTAAGTTTCAAAACACTTTATAGGTTTTAAAGAACTGAAAATTGTCAATTGTTGTGTTTGCAGCATATTTACTGAAATCAAAAGCTATTTCAATCAAACTTTTAACAACATTTTAACTTTTTAAACATTTTAACAGGTCACGTTACATTTTAACATAGGACCCCTTATTTGATAGCAGCTTCACAAGTCTTGCATCCATTGAACTTGTGAGTTTTTGGTCAGTTTCTGCTTGAATTTGTTTGCAAGATGTCAGAATAGCCTCCCAGAGCTGCTGTTTGGATGTATACTTCCTCCCACCCTCATAGATCTTTTGCTTGAGGATGCTCCAAAGGTTCTCAATAGGATTGAGGTCAGGGGAGGATGGAGGCCACACCATGACTTTCTCTCCTTTTATCCCCATAACAGCTATTGATGCAGAGGTATTCTTTGCAGCATGAGATGGTGCATTGTCATGCATGAAGATGATTTTATTACGGAAAGCATAGTTCTTCCTTCTGTACCAGGGAAGAAAGTGGTTAGTCATAAACTCCACATACTTTGCAGAGGTCATCTTTACACCTTCGGGGGCGCTAAAGGGGCCGACCCGCTCTGTTCCCATGATTCCGGCCCAAAACATGACTCCACCACCGCATTGCTGACGTCGCAGCCTTGTTGGAACAGGGTGGCCGTCCACGAATCATCCACTACTCTATCCATCTGGACCATCCAGGGTTGCACGGCACTCATCAGTGAACAGGACTGTTTGAAAATTAGTCTTCATGTATTTTTCTGCCCAATGCAGCCATTTCTGCTTGTAAGCATTGGTTATTGGTGGCCGAATAGAAGGTTTATGCACAGTTGCAAGACTCTGGAGACTCTACACCTTGATGTCCGTGGGACTCCAGAGGCACCAGCAGCTTCAAATATCTGTTTTCTGCTATGTAATGGTATTTTATCAGCTGCACTCTTGATGCGATGCATGGATCTGGCAGAAATCTTCCTCAATGTGCCTTTATCTGCACGAACCGTCTGTGCTCTGAATCAGCCACAAATCTCTTAATAGTGCGATGATCACGCTTAAGTTTTTGTGAAATATCTAATGTTTTCATACCTCGTCCAAGGCATTGAACTATTTCACTCTTTTCAGCAGCAGAGAGATCCTTTTTCTTCCCCATATTACTTGAAAATGGTGCTCTGCTTAATAATGTGGAACACCCTCCTTTAGTAGTTTTTCCTTAAATTGGGATCACCGTCCAATCTAATTATCACAGGTGTCCGTGATTGTTTTCAGTGATCAAAAGAGCCCTGACACACAATGCCATCCATGAGTTACACTGAAAAACAAAATATTTAATCTTTGTGACACTTAAATAGAATTTGCATAATAATTTGGAATAAATGGTATATGTTTGGCAAAACCAGGACTCTTCCAAGAGCTGGTCACCTTGCCAAACTGAACAATCCGGGCAGAAGGGTGTTAGTAAGAGAGATGACCTAGAACCCAATGGTCACTCTGACTGAGCTCCAGAGATCCTGTATGGAGATGGGACAAAGTTGTGGACAACCATCACTGAAGCCCTCCATCGATCTGGCTTTATAGCAAAGTGGCTAGATGGAAGCCTCTCCTCAGCAAAAAACATATGAAAGCCAGCTTGAAGTATATTACTGACATGTCAGTAGTGGTATAAAGTG